GTGAAGTTTGAATGTATTGGTCCAGGCATGTCTTTGATATAGGTCCGGATGCACACACAGATGCACAGACACATGGGAGCACAGAGGTCAATCCATAAGTCCCCATTTTCAGACTGCGTCCGACAGGGGACTAAAAATGTAATCTTTAACTTGCCTGTAATTAACTTTTGATCTTCTCTGCAACATAACATGTGTTTGAATTTTTTTCACTTGTTCCTGAAAAGGTTCACCAAATAAACATATTTTTTTTTTTTTAAATGTAGATCGAATAAGTAATTGTGGGTCATATTACAATGTTTTTTTTGTCAACTTGGAAACCAGTAAGCTAAATACCCACATACATGTACCAGTAAAAATGTCCCATGATACAATGTGTGAACACATTTGAAAAGATGCACACTCAGCATACTGAGACCGAATATTTATTATCTGGTTCCAAAATGTTAATCAGTGAACAGAACAACTTTGAACCCTGCTGCATAATTCAATTCTTACCTCACTGATCTTCAAACCAAGCTCATAAAGTACTTCTAGAACATCCCCAAATGATATGTATCCAGTTCGATCTAAGTCTCGCTGTGTGAATCCATCTAAAGCATGGAGTTGGTTCTCATTGATAAACTGCTCCACCATACTGATTGTGCTACATGAGATCTGATTGCAATAAAAACCCATGAAAAAGTATGTTAGAATGGAAAGGCAATACACTCGCATACACATAAAAGGATCCTTTTTCTTCAACAGACTTAATAGAATAAATTTACCAGATACAAAATTACATGGGAAGAAAAAAAAAATGTTTGAAAGAATTAATGTGAAGATGGATTGAAAAAGTAACACAATGAGAAAACTGTTAGAAAGTCGCAATGTTGATGCATGATGTTTAAAACCTACCCTTTGTCTGCGGTATCCACCCACACCAGAATGCAGGATGTAAAGATCCTTGATATCCATAAGGTCCTCTATTTTGGCTTGTATTCCTGTAGAAACTGTCAGACCCTGTGAAAACCAAGCACAGATGCTTATTTCTCGATCAACAGTTTTTAGATTAACTTTAATGGTTTTATGAATTTGGTTCTTTACCTGTAAGCTGAAAATTCTAAGTGTAGAATGTTTATACAATGGAACCAATAATGTCATAATTCCTTCTTCACCCAGGGGATTCATACCAACCTGTGAAGACAAGTAAATAAACATCAATAATATTCCCTGTGATTCCCTACACTTCGACCATTTTATTCAAGCTATCACTCAATGTGGTACAAATTAATGAAATCATATGCTCACAATTGCTTCTTGGTGTACAAGAAATAATTTTCAGAGATTGAAAATCACAGCTTTTTAGCAGACCATTTACTACATCTGATTGAATGATGCTTATGAATTAATAACATCGCATATGTGTGTAATGATTCTGGTAGTTCTTTTTTATAAAAAAAAATACTTTTATTTCGAATTCTGAAGAATAATCAGTAACAAATTTGATTCAGTAATATTGTAAATAGAAATTACTACAATGGGTAAAAGGAATTTACACAAACCAAAATCAATAAAATTCCAGAAATTCCCATGATGCAACAGCCTACAGGAAAAATAAGACACCTATTTGCCTTGATGTTATTGGGTGAGCAGAACTGATCCTTATCTTACCAAGAAAGCTTCTAATCCAATGTTTTTCTTCAGCCCAATTACAAGTTTCTTGGCTGCTTCAGGAGTTATGTGGTTATTACTGAAATAATATGAAATAATTTGTGTTTGCAGGTTTATTAACAGTCATTAAGAAAAGCTGTGTAAAATTAATGAAGATATTGATTTTAATAACATATCTTGGTTTAAAAAATTGTCAATTCACATACCAGAAACCCAATGAGAACTCATAATTATCGTTAAATCTGTATTAGAAGTCGCATCCCTAATATAAGTTGCACCAGAGGTACATTACTTGGGGTTTGCAACTACGGTGACATGATACCAAGATCCCGTTCCAATCTCGCTCTCGCATAAGCGTTCCAACTTAGAAAAATTCGAATGCGCATGCCCGAGGTAACTAGGTTACTGGGATGTCCAGGTGGATCAAAATAGCTGCTCACGATATGACGGATTACGATAACTATATTTTTTGTACATTTTTTATGTATTACATTTTTTCACTATGAATGTGGTAATACATGTGGTATATTGTTTTATTACAAACCGTCTTTGTCATGTCAGAAGGTCGTAGCATCAGTTTCGCTATCTACGAGATGAGACTTGAATGGGATCTTGACATGATGTCACCATACAGTACTATGCGCGTTGCAAACCCCAAGTAATGTACCTCTGGTTGCACCCATTCTTTCACCAGTTTCCATATGTGTAGATGCTCTAATAGAAGCAACATCCCCACTGTTGCAATGTACCATTTTAATAGAAGCCGCAGCATCTAATACAGATTTTACAGTTAGACTACACAAAGACTACCAATTTTTGTCATTTGGTAATTATTTTCAAAAATACAAAGAATTTATATTTTGTTTTCTAAATTGATATAACTGTATTACTACAGCTGTGTTAAGATATACAATGTAATTACAATGAAACCTGTTGATTAAAATTTGACCATCAAAAGGACCAAGTTTACTTTGAAAAATCAAGCAAGACTACGATTTTAAAGAAAAATACAGATTTTCTTTCATTGAAATCTTATTTAGATAGTGACAATTAAATATATTATTGGAAATATTTTGTGAGTATTAGGGCTAAGTGTTTTCTCGAATTTATAATTATCGACATTATTATTACGACCACCACCCACTCATAGTTGAAAAAAGCTGATATTGCCATTTACAGCGAGATATTAACAATAATATAGGACATTGATTTGAATTACCTCATATCCAATATTCTGAGTGTAGTGTTTACTTTAAGTGCTCTGCCAAGTGCTTGACAACCAGGAAGTGATATTCCATTCCATGAAAGATCCAGGATTTCCAGAATGGAATTAGCCTAGACATGCAGGAAATGAAATCATGCTAAACACAGGAAACACTATTCATGCAGTTCAAAGGACAAACACACAAATCTGTGAGGGGGAGGGGTGTACCGATACATACTGTTTTAAAACACTGAATATCATTGGGAAAGCAATTGCCATTTAAAGGGGGTATTGTGTTCTGCCTGACTGATTAATGTACCCTGGATATCACAGTATACTATGGATTGATGTGTACCTGTATGGACTGTAAATACTGTCCACATGCACTGTTAAACAGGCATAATTGACAAGCATGTGCTATTAAAATAAATCACAGCATGGTGCAGCAAACAAACACACAAATCAGCATGACAGTTCTAACAATGTGGAATGCTCAATCAATATTTTCAGCATAAATGAATATTTTAGCATGATAACCATACGCAGATGATGAGCTCTATATGTCTAACGTACCTTGAGAGCATTGAACAATGCTACACTTCCTTTGCCGCGAATTGCATTCCAACTTAAATTCAACTTTGCTAGTGAATTGTTTTCTGCCTGTGTAGAAACATGTACATAGCTGAGTTAAATGTTGAAAAAACTACAGGTTTACTATGATGTACAAAAGGTAGATACAATTATTAGTAGTAGTATAAATTATGTACATGTATATCATTGATATCTGTGCAATTCATGATCACATTTATCCTGTTAATGGTTATTGATGCTAGTATATTCAGCATGAGTAGCAAGCTGGGAACATTGTACAACAGTGCAATGACTAATAGCTTTAGTTATATAGTACCCGGGTAGGTGAAATAATTGTAGCCTTAACTCCCAAATTTGGAAGAAAATCAGTGATATACTGGCCAAGTGGAGACAAATACAATCATTGAATAAAATATTTAACATTTTGAAGTTTTGCATGTGATATCTAATCATATTTGTGATTTTGGTATATTTTAATGAGTCATGGAGTTACAATTCTAAGTTTACAAAGAAATGGATGGGTGTATCACCTGACACTTCAGTGAATATGGTAGGGTTTGGATTTTGGCTGACGAGAAGACGTCAAAAAAATATGTGAGAGGATTTACAACCCACTTGGCTTGAGTACTTACATATATTGTTGTTTTATAAGAAGTGCATGCCCCTATTTGTAAATTCAGTATGGGTCGGTATAATAAAGACAGCTAAAATTACCTTATACATGTGTGCTTCTATTGGTGATGTACTTCTAATACAGTGAATATATAGTACTTTCTACCACTACTACTACTATGTACTCATTTCTATGGATATGTACTTATTTGAGATTTTATTATTACCATTTGATTTTTTTACCTATGCTTGTATGTATATGCCTTTAATATTTGTAGTTTGTTTATTTTTTAGGTTTTGTTTTCTTTAGTTTGTCTTTAACTTTTATAAATGTAGATTTTTAGTGATCTTACTGCTGTACTTTCTGAAGTAAGTGTTGTGTCAATAAACGTATTATAACTATTTTCTTAAAATTTAAAGATTCAGTTATAAAAATAGTAAATATATCACACATAGTTACTCACCAAACCTGAGGCTAAGTACATACCAGCCAGATCACCTAAATCATTGTGACAAAGATCTAGCTCTAACAGAGTAGAGTTGTTTTTTAGTGCACTTGACAGAAGTTGGGCATCAGAATCTTTCAGGTGGGTGGCTGTCAACAAAAATAAGTTCATAAATAAAGAAACATTTTGCTGACTTTGAAAGTTTAGTTACATGTTTTATTGATTATTTTCTAACACAAGAAAATGTGCATGAATAATACATTCCTTAGTTGTTCTAGTTGTTGTCTGAAGATTCATTCATATGTATTTTCTTTTCATGAATCTATTTCTATCAAAATAACAAAATACATTCAGATTTGCACTATAGATGCACTTGCTTGTTTTTTAATTTTCAAATATATATTTTTTGAGGTAGAGAGATCATGGGATGGCATTTTCTTCAAGTTGACCATTGGTGGCAGTGATACCAGATATAGAAATATAAGTTCAGCACAAAAGACAAAGTATTTAACAGAGGTGTATTCATCATGAGGTTTTATGAAATGAGGATGCATACACAAACTGTTTCACGCTACACTTTGGGGAGGGGGGGGGATCTGCCTCACAAAATGTACAATAGCATCCAATATCTACTTATACCAATTAATGTAAAATAACTATCTACCCAAAATTTTGGCTTGTACTTACATCTCAGAATCAAGGTTTTTAAGGTATAGTTAATTTCTAGCATAGATGATATAGCACCTGCTCCTATAGCGCCAACTGTATTCTCAGAAATGTCCTGCAAAATAAAGGGATTTAGAAAGTTATCATGTTTTTCCAGAATAGGTTCTTAGAGCAATTATGAAAAGAATACCATATTTCCTCTATTAATAGCGCATACACTTACACAATTGACAGAGATATGTACGGTATATGATAATAATAAATCATACTTTAATATTCCAGTATACAATAAATGACACTGTTGGTTTGCAGGTGCTTCTACTAAAGATGTGCTTCAAATAGAGCAAATACAGTAAATGAAAATTACATATATACCGTAACTGTCACACACAGGCAAACTGCAGAAAAGTAGGTTTTGATCAGGAATTTTCACTACCTCACATTATACTCATATACTTACTTACTGTAAAAGGATTAATTATTCACTGGGTTTTAATCTTGCTTATTTTGCTGACTGAAAAATGCGCTAAATTAAAACCCAGTGAATATGTAAAATTTAGCATAGAACACATTATCTAAATGATAAAATCGTGAATTTAAAACCCACTGAATATGCCAGAAATGGTAAATCAGCAAAATTTAAACCCTGTGAAAATTAGGCATTTTACAGTAAATATTATACTTAAATAAAGCCACTCACCAATTTAACTATGAAGCAGTTTTCTTTCAACATGGTTGCTATGGCAACTGCCCCTTCAGGTTCAAGGTGATTATCTGCCAAGTCTAAAACTTCAATAAATGTGTTATCCTAGATAGAAATAAATCAATAACTCAACAAAAGCTCTTAAATACTGTAAAACATGTTCTTTTAGATGAATGTTAAGAAACAACTATAATACCCACAGAACAGGGAATACTACAGAGACGCTGGCGATGTCTAGGACACACCCTTTGAAAACCAACCCAAAACATCACAAGGTCGGCACTCAGCTGGAA